CATTAAAAAATGATGAGGATCGGCCGCGTGTTTGTACCAGGCTACATGGTTAATTTAAATCATAATAATTTTAAATCATCATGCTTTACGAGGAGTGTGTGTGTGCGAGAGCCGCGCTGCCCACCTGCTGATTACACTGGCGGGGTAGATGGAACATGCATAGCGTTGCCGCTCGGGATAGAGGGAGGAGAGGGGGGGGAGTGATGTGATTAAGGTCAAAAACAAGGGAGTGTGTAAGGACATAAGTCATTTGTTAGGGATTGATGAGGGTTGGATTACAGTGGTAATGGGGAAGAGGGGGGAATCCAAGTCTGAGTACTCATTCTACAGCAAATTTAATTGGCGCCAATGCTGTGATCAATCCACATTGACCGCTTTAATGGGACTGGGACTGATAACTTCGTTATTGCCCTCTTATGTCCGCCAAATCCCGGAAACTGACAAGGATTATTTTCTTATCGCTTTAAAAGGAGCAGAACTGCCGCTGCCAATCACTTGGATGATGACAGCTTGATTATAAGCCAGTTATTTCAGAAAGGAATATTCAACCTAATGTTAGGAGGAAGGTGTGTTTTATCACTTTGTCCACACAGATTTTGGCGTTTCTCGAACTACTCGGTGAAGCTGGACGTGACAGTGTATTCATCCCACCAGAGCTGGAGATCCTGTGCAGTTCCGAGATAGAGAGAGAAATAGTCCCCTCTTTTACTGTGGCTGGGTAACTGCTACGGGCTTTTGGGCCACCCGCTTCTCCCACTCCATTGTGCATTGTGCCACTTTCAATTATTAAACTATGGAGAGCAGTTCCTACAAAAGCTACAAAGCAGCTTAATTATATTTGGCCTACAGCCCCAGAAACCAATCAGTGTCATATGCAATTAGTATGTGATCATTTGATTAAACACAGAGTTAACTTAGAAATGCACAAATATGCATTATTTAAGCGTAATATCAACTGATACAGATCTTAAAAAGTTCTTTTTTGACACTGGACTCAAGTAAAAGGGAGTCAGTTGGTCCTTCTTGTAGATGTATATTTATATTGCCACCATAAAAAACTGATTTTTAAACTGGAGGGGCCATAGTTAAAGCCGAGACAATCCTGACTCCCTAGAATGGTCCGGGTTCTTACATTTTTCTTATTTTATCATACCTCTGAGAGCTTCAGAGCCAGAGAAGATATTATTACAGCTTTTGTACTCATGCTAAGTAGAAACAAAAATTAAACTCCAGTGCTTCCAGCATTTATTTGTCCAGTTCTGTTAAGTGAGGCGACTCACAAAAGCAAGATAAAGAAAAAGAGTGGTTGAAATTAAGCACCCTTTCCGGACTGTTAAGCCCCTAGGCCATGGGTCAACCTCCAAAAAACGCTGGATCCTATACAATAATCCATCATGCAAATCAGGTAGCAGCATTCATTAGTCCGTCCCGCAAACTTAATGGCCATGCTTATCAAAACCCACCTCCAATTTGGAAACCATAAATTAACCCTTGGACATCATCAGGTTTACTTATTCAGATCATGAGAAAGCTCCTTCCAGAGCCACAGAGGATATTACACAACTTTTTCTCACAGTAGCGGCTCATTATGACAAGTAAAATTAAACTTCAATACGCACTGTGGCGTGGCCCCTTTAAGGTGCAGCCAGGAGGAGCTTCAAGTGCACATTTCCAAACACATCTGCAGTTAACCTGTTTACCAATAAAGCAATGGGAGATCAATAACTAGAGGTTCACAGAGCTCCTCAAAGTAAAGCTCCTTAGGGCTGCCAAACTAACGATTCATTTCACTATTAGATCAATCTATTGATTTAAAAAAAACCTATTTGATAGACCTTTTTAGTTTAACAGCAGGAGGACAGTGGACAAATGGACCATGGTCACATTCCCACAGCCCACGATTTCTCCAAAATACAAATATATTCAATAATAATTATATATAAAACAGCAAATTTTCCCTCACATTTGGAGAAGCTGGGAAACTGACAGTGTTTGCCATTTTTTGCTTCATGATTGAGTTTACAAGGGTACTTGGTATCTTATGTCAGATCTCTTGGAATATTCATTTTATTCTGTTCTACCTGGATCGGCCACAGCCAGGAACGGCTCCATCGTTCCGATAGGGCTGCAGATACCAAGAAGGCCAAAAGGTTCCACCACCATTCTGCTACATTTATGGCTCAGCCGCCAATGCGTGATTTCCTTCTCATGCATGTGTGACCAATCTGGGATCCTGTGCTGAATAAATCTTCCCTGTATCACATATCCGTGTGCTAACAAAATGCATTCACTGAGTCTGAAAGTATTAGTAGAAATAATAAAAAAAAGGAATGAATAATTAACCACGCAGTCAAGTTGCTTCTATTCTTTGGCTTTCTCATGAAACCGCAAACCCCTCTAGTGATTCTTCTAATTTTGCATTCACAAGGTTGTTGATATGGCCGCATGGCAAAAAAGACAAATATCCGACTTATTAGTTATGCTAAACAACTTCGAGCACATTTTTGGGAAGCCGTTGCTCATTGCCGGGCAGTTTTTTTTTATCTGCATTTGTTCGTTTTGGCGTGAACCGGAAAACTTCAGGCAACCACAGGACAATGTGTGCCCTTTGTCCCAGGTGCCATGCATAGGTGCGGCGCTGGTTTCAATTCAACGCCACAGCGGGGCCAGAGGGGAGATCATGGGCATGCCCCGAAGGAGAGAGAGACGAGAGAGAGAGGGACGGAGGAGAGCGAGACGAGGACGACAGGAGAGAGGGAGAGGAGAGGTTGCAGCCAGACTGAGATAAAAAACAGAAATAGAGAAGAGAGACTGTGAGCCTTGGGTAAGTGGTTATGTTGATGTGGAAAGGAATGGAGGGGAGGGCGCTTCTGTCCTTATCTCTGCCGCCGCTTTTCTGGCTCTGGTCAACATACTACTCGAATCGAGGACAAAACAAAAACATTTATTAACAACCGTCCTACAAAATTGTTTGATTTTCACAGGACTAATTGATCATCCTCATGGCTGGACTTAAAGTACCTCTTGACCAATACTTGCTGGGCCTTCAGTGCAGATGCGGAGGGTTTGTTACGCAGAGGACCAACACAAGAATGTCAGAATCATTCATGAGCACTTTCCTGTTTGCAAACACTTAAGTGTTTAAGAGAAAACCAGTAATTTGGATAATTTAGTTTGAGCATGGTGGCCAGTTGGTCAGCAGTTTGAGGTGGGACTTAATGACGAGATTCTGATGTGGGCCATTTTTCATACATAATAATAAATAATAATACATTATTTAAAAAGCGCTTTTCTAAATACTCAAAGGACACTGTACAATACCAATGATAAGAACGAATACAAGAACATAAATCAGTAAACAATAGTAAAACAGTACATTACATAAAACACATTAGACTGAGCTAGATTCATGATCCAGATTGGATACAGGTCTGATTTTCTGCTGTGTGGCCTCAGTGTGAACGGTCATATCAGAATTCACGTGACTTTTACGTCACTTTAGATTGACATTCGTCATGCAGGTCACTTCAGGACAGCGACCCGTTCACACTGGAATTGGATATGGGCCACATTTAAAAAATAATGTGAACAGCCCAACAAAAAAAACAGGTCTGAGCAGTAAATCAGAATTGAGCGCTAAGGCTTCAAGTGTGAACGTAGCCTAAGAGTCTGTAGCCATGCTAGAACCTCTACTAGGCTTTAATTATAGTCACAGCAGTGCCATGCTAACACTAGTATCCCTACGAGCTTCACCTTCCTAGTTTAGCCCTTTAGCGTGCTAACGTTTGCCAATTAGGACCTCACACAAAGTCCAGCTGAGGCTGATGGGAATGTAATTAGTTTTCCAGGACCGACAGAACGATATTTAACATCCCTAGAGCCAACGCTGCCCGCTAGCGTGGCGAGAAATCACTGGTAGATTAATGATTAATGAGCGTAATCATTACTCGCAGCCAAGAACATGAGGTCACCACAGCAAATAAGAAACTGGCAAAAACTCAACAAAAATCAACAGTGTCATTAATGTTTGCTAACATTAGCTAATATTAGCCACCATAAGATACCAGACCAAGTGAAAAACTGAGTGTATTTAATTTAACAATGTTGTATATATGCAATATGAAGAATGTGTTATTTCTTCTTTCAAAAGCTACAAAGTCCTGTTTTGACGACCAGCTTGAGAAGCTAACAAAGCTAACATTGCTTTTACAGGAAGTGATAAAAGAACTCCAAAGCTCTTATACTGCAATTGAGCCTTTGGGATTAAGTCGTTTTGATTTTGATTGCTTCTGGGTAATGGGGAAATACCTATTAGACTAACAAATTAGGTATGACCTCAGAGGATGGTACAATAAAGTTTTACTTAACGTACGTGTTTACATTCGGGTCTCCTATGGAAAGAAAATAACAGTAGAGGGGTGTATAACCAAACTGCATTAAAAACAGCCACTTGAATAGGAGGTGACTGATTTATTTTGAAAGGGAAGAAAAAAAGAAAATCTCAAGAGTCAGCCTGTTTGAATTAAATGAAAGGCAACATATGTTTAAAAAGCTTTTGGGTGCCATGACAGTTCAACTCCAAGGCTTTGTGAATCACTGCGCCTCTACTGGGAACACACTACAGTTGATATATTAGGTGGAATTTTCTATGAAATTTTGCTGCAGCTACATGACTCAGCCCGCCCACCCACTTGTTGTACAATGGCACTAACTGTATGGGTTACTGTATTCCAGAAGGAAGGGCAAAGGCACTTCTGAGAATTTGGCTGCAGCATGTGAACCAGTTGGCCCACACTGCTTCCAGCTTGCAGGATGCTGTGTCATGTCAGATAAATATTAGGAGCACTGACAGTGGGGAATGGGCAGAGCAAATATTTTAGGTTGCTTATGAAGTCTGCAGTTGCTTTTTCAGTGCCTTTCTGTATAATTTAGGTAATCAGAATAAAAGATATATCAGATGTGACCTGATCTTGCTTTGTTTCCCTCTGTTTGTATCATAGGACTACACGTTGACCATGTATTTCCAACAGTACTGGAGGGACAAGCGTCTAGCCTACTTAGGAATCCCCCTCAACTTGACCCTGGATAACAGGGTTGCCGACCAGCTCTGGGTCCCCGACACCTACTTCCTCAACGACAAGAAGTCTTTCGTCCACGGAGTCACGGTCAAAAACCGAATGATCCGCCTCCATCCAGATGGAACGGTTCTCTACGGCCTCAGGTTGGTTCTGCTTCGCGCTGTAAACAAATAGCCTTTTTGTCAATATGTTTGTTCACTGGTGCTTCTGAGTAGGCGTTGTGTGCTGCATGTTTACTTTTCCTGTGTTCAGTTTCATTTGTGTTGTTCTTTAACCAAGCAGCAGTGAACAAGTCTGAATGCTGAATTATTCTAATTGTCTACACATTTTAAGACAATGCAAATGCCAGAACCAGCAAAGAACTGATCCTAACTTAGTATTCCTGTTACAGTTAGTGCAAGCAGGGTAACAAGTTACACAGGAGAATTGGACCCAAATGCAGACAACTGAGGCAGGGCTGCGCAGTAGTACAGTGATTTAATTAACGAAAGTCAAAGAACAATGCTTACGGGATGGCGAGGCAGGCAAGGGTCAAAACCAGAGAAACAGTCCAACGAAGGCAAACAAATCCAACAGGGAGCAGGTAAACTCCAAAAGAGAGAGGCTGGGATGCTTCAGTGACAATAAACCAGCAGCTGAGGTAAAGGAACACACATACAGTAATTAGACACAGGTGAAACTAATATGGGCAGGGCAGACAATCAAAACTGGTGGGAAAACAGACATGTTACTGACACTAGAGGAGAGGGGAGTATTACAAAATAAAACAGGAAGAAACTAAACTAAAACCATGACATTCCTCTTTGCTTTGGAGCTCCACTGTTGCCCAAAACTATTAAAACACATCAATGAGCCACACTGTTCCACATGTTCCTGCGTTACAATAAACCCTGGCACTGCAGTTTATTTAATTCTACAACACTCACTACAGCACCAAAGCAAATATATTATAAAATATTTATCCGCAGCTGAAAGTAGTCCCCAACAAATACGCCTCCTGTTTGAGTAACTCTTGCTAAAAACTAGAGTGCCCGGCTGTTTTAGGAAAATACTGAGCCTTTTTTCACAAATTAAACCATACGTTTGTGTCCAGATTTTAAATATTTACCAATAGCCTTGGGGTTTCCAGTCAGAGTAGAGAAGTCAGAAAGGGTTGAGAGACGGACTAACACATTGTTAGTTTGGGTCTTTTCATGGCGTTTGTTTATAGTATGAAAAATACAGATACAGCCTCCGTTTTTGATGTCTTCTAAAGTGATTCTACATGCAGCTATATGCTGTGTTTCCCACTATAGCAGCAAATTAGCTTATTTATGTTGTGGTAATGTGCAATTTCTGGGCCATGCAAATGAGCAACACTCCCCACAACAAGCACCAAAGTGAATCTCAGGGTCAAAAATGTTCTCAAATGTTTCCCAGCGTCAAGTGAACGCTATGTGTTTAAAGCCTTATTACTGCACCACACTTGCCCAAGCTGAGAACTTGGCCGTTCCGAGCAGCCAGAGGATTATGCGTCGTGCTCAAGGGCGCCCCGGCATTTGATTTTTAAGCGAGCGAGGGTGCAGTCAGAGATCACCCATGAAAAGAAGTGTGAACAGGTTAGGAAGTGCAATAACGCAATGTTAGGCTTGCAGCTGTTGTTTGATATTTGTTTCATAAAGCCCTTGTTTTGAATTTACATTGATCTTTTCGACAGGCAGGTTCAGAAGAGTTAGTGTGACCTATGAATATGGATGCATGCTTTGAATTATTAGAGCGCAAAGCGAAAAGAGTGTGTGTGTGTGTGTGTGTTTGCACGCGTTCTTGCATGTTTGTGTTTGTATCTGTCAGCGTTCATACTTTACAGTCATACAGCCATGGTTGATTATGCAAGTGGAGTTCATAGCACTTGGCCTCGTGGGCTACTTATAGACCTCTCAATGCTTTCAAGAGATCAAAGGGAGAGGGTGATGTGTGACGGGGTGTTTGTGATGTGAGCTGTTACATAAATGTATGTCAGGTAAGGCTGAGTAACATGCTGGATACAGATTCTTATCACGGTATTAAAGAACACACTGTAGGCTATATTTATGTGTGATGCTCATTAGGGCTGCAGCTAATGACTATTTTCTCAATTAATGAATCATTAACTCTTTAGAGCGGCAAAATCATTATACATGTAACACATTTTAATTAATATGGATATATTATATTGATATTTATACACCAAAACTTCTTCTATATGACATTTTATTTCATATTTCTTACTTTTCATAACAGTGGAGTTGTCACCTCGCTAGCTGCTAGCTACACATGAGCCGTTATAGCTAGCTCACTAACTAAACCATCTAGCTCCGGCTGGCTCGAGCGTCCACAGAGAAAGACTTTGCTTTTGCTTTTTCAGAGTTGTGTGTCTTTCTATGAGGAACATATTTAACCAAAATGCAACCAAGGTTACTCTGAATTAACCAGCTAATAACCCCACATAGCTAGCTAGCTGGCTAGGTTGTTAGGTAGCACGTGCAGCCTTGTTAATCTAATTAAAGGATCCAATGTTAGTAATGTTGTCTGTGTACTTTATTTATTTACAGACTAACAGGAGCTAACAGGCTAAATTTTGTAGCCGCTGTTGAGGCTGGGGTGGTTATGGCTGACATCACTGGTGACATTAAAAGTGACATTAGACGACATCAAATGAGTCAGTGAAAAAAAGAAACGGAAAGAAACAGACTTTTGCGAAAGAATGATGACGCAACACTTCATAATGATAAATTAAAAATGAGTTTTCATAATTTATTAAATGATTTCCCAATATATCGGTTCATTGATGTGTTTCGCCTCATTTATCCATGTGATGATTTATTTAATTATGTGTTATTTAATTATTTAGGGTTGAACACATTTTTAACTCCATTATCCACAGTCCCAAAAAGATTTTTAATTTACTGCCATACAAGACTAATATCAGATATTCACTTTTGAAGAAAGAAGAGAGAGAAATGGTTTCCGGTTCATTTTATTTCCATAAACTAATGAATTAATCACCTTGTTATTTCAGCTCTACTGTTTAGTATTCTTTGAAGTTTGTTGCATGTACAAATTTAAGTCTATTTTTATGATACAAAGTTTTGGTTGTATATCGGAAATCCAAGCTATATGTAAAATGCAGCGTCACAATCCTTACAATGCGTCTATATCTTGCAGACCCAATATTATGTTATTGTAATTTTAGCTGTATAATAAGATCACCTAATGGGTTTCCACAGCCCTCATCTGAGTCTTCACTGAATGAAGACATCCAGTGGCTAACTGCCAAGCAGCCGGCTTTTAATCAGGGCAGACTTAGCCTAAATCATTTTGAATTTGCATTTCACTTTGCTGCTTATTTTAACTGTCTGATTATCAGCTGTTTGAGCTCATACATCTAATAAACAAAGGGATACCTCCTCATGACCCAGTTCAGATGAGCAGGCACTAAATACTGCCAAAATGTATTGCCTTGATATGTTTTTTATTTGCTATTTTTTCCACTTAATCACTGAATGGAGGGTAGCCAGTTCGGTTGAGGGGGGACGTGAATTGATTCAAATACAGGAGTGAGGACTGCTTGTCTGACTGTGATCTATAGTGTACTCATGTATACAGTTACGCAGTCAGCATTTCAGCTTGGATGCGGTGCTATAATCTTATTTTAGGATGACAATGCTAATAGTATCCAGTAATATGAAGCCAACTGAGGAACTTAGTGTAGAGACAAATGGACATTTAGTTTCCTTCAAAGATGATAAGACAAAGTCAAGAGCTATCGCCTTAATGCTTTGATCTAATTGTATTCCCACAGTCCCTTATGCTTCCCTGTTAAATAACTACTTACCTGCTTTGCTGTTTTTTTAATAACAATTCAAAAGGGGACAGAAAATATGATAATCCATCCTTTCTACAGTACCTTCCTATCCATCTTCCTTTCAATACAATTTGTGTAAATCACATACAGCAGGTAAAATATTCTTTCTCGCATTCCTCCCCCCCACTCCTCCATCTGTGTCTTCTTTTTCAGGATAACTACAACAGCAGCGTGTATGATGGATCTCAGGAGGTATCCCCTGGACGAACAGAACTGCACTCTGGAGATAGAGAGCTGTGAGTAGAGATCTTATGCCTCTAGGACCGACTGTCAGCGCACTACGCGGGCTGAGGAGAAAACCAATACGGTCTCATTTGTGAGATGTTACAGTTAGCAATAAAAAACCTGGTTATTTTTTTTAATTTTCAGGTCTGTAGGATTTCTTTTAAATCTGTCTCAGATACCAGAAGAATAGGGTTTACCTTATATGAAAGGTATGACTGATGGCAGAATTCATCAGCTGGTCTTAAAGGGGTGTTCAAGAGGTACAATTTAGAGGAAAGAATGGACATCATTGAAGCAAAAAACACTGGGAGCTTCACTTTCCATAACTCAACAGGATCCATTGTGGTCTCCAAACCCAAATAGAAATCACCTTGATGACCTCAGGGGTTATTTGTCAGGATTTCCTTCCTTCGAACCCACAGAGCACATAATTATTTTCAGAGGCTCAATACCATGTTGTTGATTTTTACATGTAAAATTGATGGTGGGAGATCAATTATCAATTATAGGTGTCTTTAGTAGATCTCTGGTTCTCAGTACAAAACCATGTAGCATCTACTGTCTGCAGTGATAGCAGGAAATCTCCAAAGCATATAGCAGCCCTAAAAGAAAAAAATATGAGGGAAATAGTGAACTGCATACAAAGATTTTTGTCGGTCAAATGTGCACAGTATAATACAAAAGTGACACGTTATTTTTCAGGGTTAGGGTTAGACCAATGTTGACTTTGGTTTGACCTGTTACTTCAGCCAAACTGCATTTCTTTTCTTTATTTAGCAGTGCAAACAGTTGTAGGTGCACTAATGTGGAAAGACTCCGGTCACCCTAACCCTATTTGCACAAAAAAAAGCTTGTGAAATACATCACCTACCCTATCTTTAATGTGATTTACACCTGAGGATTATCAGAGGCACACAGATCCTGTTGGCATCTTTGTGGGTGAAGTTGAGCTGCAGCCAGTTTCTCAAATACAGTCTAAGAATGGAGCGCATTCAAAGACCTTTTCAGATTTAGTTAATAGTTTCTATATTAAAATAATGAAAAAAATAAAAATGCAGTAAATGAAGCAAGAGCTTCCAAGCACAGAGGAAATGTCAGCTATTTTTGAATTCTTCTGACATTTTTGTGAACTCAAGTGAACCTATTAACTGACTTGCTTTTCAAAGCAACGTCTGGTTCTTGGAAACGACTTCAAACGTCTTTTTTTTTTCTTCCCAAATGACAGCCCAGTTGGATGATCAGCAACACTGCATATCTTGGTCTCCAGTGATGGTTAGACAGATGGTTACACCTTGGTGTATGTGTGTGTGTTTCTTCTCGTGCAGATGGCTACACCACAGACGACATCGAGTTCTACTGGAAAGGAGGCGAGTCGGCCGTAACGGGGGTGACACGAATCGAGCTGCCACAGTTCTCCATTGTCGATTACAAGTTGGTGTCCAGAAACGTAGTCTTTTCCACAGGTAAATGCTCTCCTGTAACGTGTTGTGTATGGGCTTCGGCCTCCATTTCCTTTGCTGATAATACATGACAGACTGACAAATGGATGTTACATTTCAGATGATATTGTTCATCAAGCACTGGCCTATTTTCAAGCTGATTATTTAATCAATTTCAGTAGCAAACAAATCTGTGCCAAAGCTTGATCTGTTGATCTTAAATCCTCAGAGTCAGAGTTGTGTTTGTCAGTGCTTCTAATTGGGTTGAAGTGAGGAAAAGCGCTGCCTTTGAAGTATCCCTCAAGTAACAGCGGCTGATGCAAGGATGCTGGAATGGTACTTAACCAAAACACGCCGTAAACGCGGTGATTTACAGAGCAAACCGTGTCCAGGTCAGATGGTACTTGACCCTGAGAGGTGACGCTGGAGTGGTAATGGTTTGGTTATCATGCTGACATTAACAAAATGTAGCTGAAGACCCCGATCAATTCAATCAATCGATACGATCACTCACTGTGACAGTAGCAAGTCGATCTTAAAGCGGCTGACAACTTTTCCATAACATTAATTAGTCACGACTAAGTAAGCAACAGTGTAAGTTAAAGTTATTCTAACTCATCTAGTCTACGTCATCTGGACTGCGTGGGCGGGTCTTTTCTTAGATTTGATTGACAGGGCTGGCAACATAAACAACCACACGACTGTCACATTTGCTGATCAAATTGCTCTGTTTTGATTGGTGCACAGAAGTGTGTGGCGAGCACCGCCTACTTCAGAAGTCTTTTTTTTAATCCTTTCTAATTCTATTGTTTGCAAAGGCAGTAGGAAAGCCATTACACCTTCAAAATAAAGGTATATATTGTGTTTTAGTGTCAAAGCTGGTATATTTCACAGTAAAATAAACAAAGCCAGCTGTAGTGTAACAGAGTTTCAATAGCCTGCAGCACACCCAAATGATCCTCAAGCCCCAAATGAATATTTGCTAATCAAACATATGGATGCTCAGGAAAAACCAATGCGAGGTGTACACAGCTTATAAATCTTTTGGCGTTGGCATCATCATTAACTGGGGTTGTGAGAAACATCAATCAAGCGTTATTTATATGTCCACAATGGCCGTTTTCTTTACAGCTTCTCATCTCTCGGGGCAATTAATCAGAAGAGAGGCTGACATGCTATGGAAACTTCTCAAGTTACTGTACATGAAAAACATTTGCAGTATCGTATTTCATGCTGCAATTAATTTGTGTTGGTAGAAGTGTAGAAGAGTAATTCAACAATCCCCATTGCTCCCAGGGGGTATTCTGATGTATGCTGTGAACTTTGGTTTTTATGTGGCGTACGATGAGGTCCTAAATTAATCAGATTTTTATGTTTCATTCAGGCCTAGATACAGAACTTTATTGACACTCCCTAACCAAGTGCCATATAATCTGGTCAGTGGAGAGCTTCTCCACAGCCGTAGCGGGGGGAATAAAAGCTGTGTGACATTTAGTAATATCATCATTTCTCACTGAAGTTGTGCTCATGAGGAGGAGTCACGCCCAGTCTGAAAAGGACACGAACAGCAAATCATTCTTTTGTTTCCTTTTTGGGTATTTTTAACATTTCTATTGAGGCTGCACAGTATTTTTTCCCTCTCATCCGTCCCAGTGTGCCTCATTCTAAATCGCTGCTCAAGCTTGCGCATCCTTTGCTTTCGCCCTCATTTTCTTGTCTTTATCTCACAATGTTGCACACGCACTGTGTTGCGTTTACCACCATCCCTGGCTGTGTGCAGCACATGCGAATGCGCCGTGGCGTGCGCACCGAAGAAGAGAAGCATGTCCCCTGTGGGTGGCGACAATTAAAGTTTAGTGTCCAGTGGTCTGCTCTCATGCTCTTGGCAGGATGTGTGAAGCACATCAAAGGCTCCCTGCAAGGCTGGCTAATGACCAGGTTTCCTCCATTACATGTGCCACTGGCCAGCCATTAATTCCCTCCCCTTTTTTCCTCTCTTTCAATCTTTCCTCTCTGTCCTCTCTTGGTGTCTCTGTCGCTTCTTTTACTCTTTCTTCTTTTCCTCACCAAGCTCCTTTGCTATATCATTACCTCTCCCTTGAAAGGGGTGTAGTTGGATGCCAATTGCCCGGCTCTCTGACAGAAAAACAGCCCAGGATTCAGGGCATCATATATTCATGTGAAATGAGGCCCACAGCATCAATAATTCTTCTCCAAGCACACATACCTGCCTGTTTGTGTGTGTGCATACAGTATGTATGTACATATGCAAATGAATGCATGACCAGACAACATTGCTGTGTTGGGTAACACATAAGTGTGTCATTTGCACATTCATCATGTCACAGCCATAGTCACCTTTATTGTTATGTCAAGATAGGAGCAACAATAACAGCTTTAAATATGCCTATATTTCTATATTTAATGTTTTCGCTGTAATTTGACAGTAGAGCCCTTTAATATTCCTTAAAGTTTTGTGGATTTTACATAAAAGCTTTGGAAAAGAGCCCTGAAAATGCAAATTTTAAAATTAATGTAGCGCTGAAATTTATTAGCATGCTTTAGCACTCTTGTCCTAACTTAAGGATGACTACTTCACTTGTTAAAGGAATACTCCAGTTTTATTTGGAGGGTGCCGGAGATACAAAAACAGTGTTAAAAAAACAGTTTCACCAAGACTTCTTGAAGTCTTGGTGAAACCATAATGAAAATGGTTATAAAAAAGATATAAAAATGTCATCTGCAACAACAACAACACTAGAAGAAGTCTCTCCTACTGAATATTTGTTTTTTATTTCCAGGTCAGATATTTATTTATCTAATTGAATCATTGAAAATAATTATGAAGATTGAAACAATTACAATATATTGGTTTTTAGCTTGAATAGTTTCAGTAATTGACCATTTGCTCAGTACCAGCCCTTAGTTACTGTTGCTATGCCTGTCAAGCTTTCCAGTGTTGTAAAGCACAAACGCAGTTTACAATTAAAAAAACTTCATATACATTTTTAAAACCATGGCCCCTCGATTTTAGTGTGTGTTTGTTTTTTTTCACAAAATGTAGTTAGCTAATGCTCTTTGGCCATGGAAGTTACGGCTAGGTTAGCTGGACATGCTTACGTTTCCAGCTTGCACTGGAGCGGACGAAGGTTTGGTTTCAGAAAGGCTAAAACACTTCTGATTGTCGCTGAGCCAAATTTCCTTGAAAATAACAGCGTCTCTGTGAAAGACTTGTTTTGTTGCCAGATCCAAACTGCCAGTGGTTACATCACAGTCTCTCATTGCATGTAAAACTGCGACAACCCCTGCCACGAGGGCGACAAAAGAGACAAAAAAAAGGGGAGACAGCGCTCTCGTCTACCCAGCCGCCCTCCCAGACTCTATTGCCGGGCTGTCATCATCCACTCAACTTTTATGATCATCCCCGCATCCCGTGTCTTCTCCCTTTCTCCCTCTCCTCCTCGGCATCACACATGGTGTTCCTCCCACTCGCGCATGTTGTTTGGTGTAGCAGTTACAGCCAGTACACTTGTACACCCACATGCGAGTGAACCTCAGCCTCCTCTTCTCTTAAGCCACTTCTGCATCTGCTACTGCGAAGATACTCGGCGCCGATTTAGGCACATTAAGGATGCATCAAAAGAAGTGAATGGGATATTTTAAGACCAGTGACAGTCTGTTCTCATTTACACACTATTGAAGTGTATGTTTAGCGTGTTGACTTTGTTCATGGCTGCCAGACTGTTAAACACAAGCCGAATGCAGGAGGATAGTCTAATGTAATAAATAGGGCATAGTTTGTGTATTTATGCTTTACACGACCAGCTTTAGAATATGCTCGACAGGGAGTTCTACAAAGATTTAAAAAATTAATGAAAGTTTTTTGTGACTGAGTAATTGTTTAATTCATATCAAAATTGACGAGCATTTGAGTGTTGGATTTACTGGTTTTCACTATTTCATCATTGAAAATTTAATCTTTGAGGTTTTGACTTGAAACAAAACATTTGGAAATGTGGGCTTAGCTTAGACTATATAGACTGAACAATAAGATTTTAGATAAATGAATAAGTTGAAATATATTATGGGTTTTTATTGTTTTTTGTTGTTGCAGGGATTAAGGGGGATTTAAGAGGTAAAAAATGTACAGAAATTTTTAGAAATTTTTAATTACTACCACTTAATGTACCTTTAAATGGATCTTTGGTCAGTTTAAGATATGTTTACGCCCTAAAAAGTCCCTAAATCATGCAGAAATCTATAAAAAAGTGATTGTAATATAACACAAATCAATAATGTATCCATTAATTACTCGAAAACAGCTCAGTTGATAAAAAAAAAACAGAAATCCATAGCTATTAACTGCAAAAGTCTTGTTTAGGTTGACTTGTTGCCTGCTTTGCTGATACGAAGAGAAATTCTGCTACCAGTGATCATTCCTCTGTTGTTGTTTTATTTGCGCAGTGTATGGCACCAAAACCTAACCCCTCTCAGTAAAAAAAATCTGTTTCAAGCCTTGTCACCCCACCAACCATTTTGAATCGATTTTTATTCCGAAGGACGTCTCTCTCTCTGCTTTTTAACCACACTTGTTTTCTATGAGTCATTTTTTTTACCTTGATTTGTTTTCGCTGAATAAAGACAGTGGTACTCACAGGAACAGGACCGATGTCGACTATGGTGCTCATGCAAACTACCAGCCCTTCCTCCGTTTACTCCAAACAAACTCGAAACATACTGTATTGTGTTTATATTTGTGTACGCCAGCAGATTATTATAGACCTTTCCCCCCTCTGGGTGTAGCAAATAGAACAACTGCACTGGCTACAGACGCAATCATTACATAACAGCATCAATATACATTTATTTATTAGAGAAAAGTTATTTATTTCCAAACAGTGTGTACACATACCAAGGTTATATGAGATAGGAACCTGTGAATAGGCCACAGTGGCTCACTAGAATGATCTTTAACTACAGCATGGAGAATTGATATCGTTGGAATAATGAGGTTCAGTCTTATTTTTTAATGATTTAGGTTTTTGTTTTTTACATAAAACATCACACACTTGTTATTTCCATGATGTATAAGGAAAGATGGTCTGCTTTGTTTTTGGTACCTAAATTAGGATTTCCTTGACAGATTTAAGTAAATAAATGCTTTGTTTGCTATATGATTTAGGTGAGACTGAAGATAAAGTCAATTTCATGTTTTATTGCTTATTGTATAATAGTTTAAGGGCTGCAGTATCTTTTTAGAATTCCCTTCATTTTTTTTATGAATTATAAGTCAGCAGCCACACTAGTAGCTCTTTGAGTCTGAATTAAATGCAAACGTCAGCATGCTAACATGCTAATTTTTAGCAGGTATAATTGTTTACAATGTTCACCACCTTCGTTTAGTGTGTTAGCATGCTTCTGTTTGCCAATTAGCATTAAAACAAAATGTACTGATGGAATTGTCATTCACTTTCAGGTAATCATCAAAAACCAAAGTATTGGACAAATGAACAGTTTGATGATCCCTTACTTTTCAGTGATCATCATAAACAAAATGTTGTAGTATTCATCCTTTGGAAACTATGAGCGTTTGAACAAAATTTCATGTCAGTCCATTCAGCCGTTGTTGAGATATTTCAGTGTGGACCAAAGTGGGATAGAGCCATCTATTGGCTTATTAGTCTATATTGGTCCTCTGGTTGCTGACTGCCTCGAAATGTCAGGAGCAGTTGTAGTATATAATAAGATCTGATGAACAGCCCAGCCCTTTACAATAACATGTTGGGACTTTTGCAATCCTGTTGCAATCTAACATACAGTAGGCACAGAATCTTAATGAGATTGTGTATTTTTGTGTGACTCTCTCCCTCTCCAACTCTGCACATAAGTGTGCAGTCGATTGGACCCACGCTCGCCACAAGTAGCTTTGGCTGAAACCCACGGATTGGAAATTACAGCGTAATGGCCCCCACTACTCCTCCAATACAAACCGAAAATGGAAAAATATCTAAGAATAGTGGGAGTAACGAACCGTAGACTCAACCCATAAAGAGACGTATGCTGGGAGATTGATGAGAAATCACGCCGGCCGTATATCAGCTCCATGCACACGCACACATAAATGCTGTTTAGATTCCAGGTCATGGAAAAGTAATTGCAGAAATGCTCTCTCATGGCAGATCGTGCTGGAGAATATTATTTTAGATTCCTGACTTGTGGAGCGTCAGAGGCGCTGCCACATGCATTTATAAAGCTATTATGTAGTAATGCTGAATCCCTCAGAATCATCACGTGAATTATGAAGGTGGATGAGATGTGGAGAATTGATAATTCAGAACATTGTGTCACATCATCACAAAATAGGGTTACAGTTGCGTGTGTGTGTGTGCACCAGTGAAGGGGATACTTGTTACCATGGCAATAAATCCAACCCATGCTGCCGGGGTTGTCATGGAAACTGAAACAAAAACATAAGGTGTCCCTGTGTGCTTCTATGAATAATATAAGTTAGATGTTATATTTACTGTCAACATTTTTAATGTTTTTTTTTTTTTAATCAGTAGAACCAGATGTACTTTTGCCGTTTAATTCGATGCAACCCTTAAAAACTTAATTTCTGAACCGTTAGATGAAAACAAACTGCCTCTATCTTGTGTCTCTTTCCTAAGGTGCCTACCCTCGACTGTCTCTGAGCTTCAAGCTGAAGAGGAACATCGGCTACTTCATCCTGCAGACGTACATGCCATCGATCCTGATTACCATCCTCTCCTGGGTCTCCTTCTGGATAAACTATGATGCATCAGCAGCCAGAGTGGCACTAGGTAAGAAGCAGCGGCAGTTAGGGAGTAGGTATTCGGATCTCTCGGATGAGGCCGGGGGACCGAAGCGAGACGCAGCCTGCCCCGCTTAATTCCCCAAAGTGATGTGTTTTCACGAGCACAGTGAGAGGCTGAACTTCTCATACTGTCGCGGTATTAGTGGGAGCTTTGGGGAACGGCTTGGAAAGTGGTGGGCCTAATGGAAACGGAGTTGAAGAACATTTCTATTACCGCTGCTGTAGTGGGAAAAAGGAAATTAGGTCCCTGTCTTCTGTGGACATAGGCTAATTAGACTGACTTTAAACTATGTAATTATTGTAGCTGAAATATTGCAACAAGCATGTAAATGTTTTTTTTTTTCCATTGTGCCATTCCGTAGGGCAAAAAGCATGAATAAACAACCCTGACTCGGACCAAACTAGGTCATACCTTGTGTCTGCAGTTGGAGCGGTCACCGTGAGGCCTCCAGCAGCTATAAAAACATCACGTCTCTAATGATCATAATTCCACTTCATATTGAGGAGTGCTTGTGTGGTTGCAAAGGCCCACTCACTGTGGGGCTCCTGTGAGCAGTAAACAAGGCAGAGATGGAAGCAGCAGGTCGCTGGTTTGTAATCATCGTGATTTCTCGCAGGAGGTTGCGGCACAGTTTTGTCTTTGTTGAATATTGAACCGAGAAGTTCGAGATGACATATGAGGAAACAGGCAGGGGAAATATATGCATAATAAGAAGGTTGTCAAGACAATAGTTCAAAATGCAATTTAGACAATAGACTTTCCACAGCAGTTAATACCACAGTAAAATGGTAATTGAGCGAATGCTAAGCACCTCCCCTGAACAGCATGGTCCAACCATAGCTTAGCAACAATAACCAGTCACTGCGTGCCTGCTGTTGTTTGTGAGGCTGTGTCTTTTTTTAGGCTTTCCAAAACCAAAAAGACAAGAACAAAAGAGCCGAAAGAACGGATTAAACAGTGTGTTTATCTGCTCTAATGTAAGCTTTACTATACACAGTCTGAACCTTCTTCCAAGATTCAAGGCGGACATCATTAACTAACTACATTAGTTTGTAGAGTTAAAGGTTATGGGGCTAACATTAGCTTAATTAGCTTGTCACACTACAGCTGATAATCTTCCACCGTTTCACTTGGACCATCAAAGCAAAAGTGGCTCACGGGGGGCGAGGCAAATTAGCCAAATAAAAGCATCAGATTTTGAGAGACTGTACATGGCAGCTTCATTACACCCACACTGAAATGACCACAGACACACAGTCTGCTGCGTGGACATGGTACATGGTTCAGATTGAGCAAATCCGGTGCAAAAAAAATCACGGTTTGGTATGTTCCTTGCTTTTGGGTCATTGGTGCATTTTCGGTCCAGCAGGGAAAGGAGAAAAAGTGGCTCATTGGCCTTAATTCTTACTGTAACTGTGAACACAAACGACAGTAAGCTCCATCGTAACTCTCTGACCTGTTGATAATTCCTGAACAGCTGCAGCACGTAAAGGCACACTGTAGCACTGTGGCTCGGGCACTTTGACCTTATGGGTTTATCTGCGGTGATAACACTTCGATAGCATTAATTATTGCTTCGGTCTGAACCTGCAGTGAGACGACTTGCCTTCCGGTCTGTGTTTAATCGACACATTCGGGTGATGCTGTCATAAATCACACATTTGAAGCGTTTCCCCAGACATGAACAATGTCATTATACGGTTTGACATCAATCTGTCCATTTTTTTTTTTTACTATAACTGGGAAACTGTGATGCTCCCACACAGTGGATCTGAATGTCATTGGAGGATCCCTCATAGAACAACTGGGGCCAATGTGAAGTCCTGCTAGCTGCAGCATCCGGTGTGTACCTCCTCAGCTGAGAGGCACTTCTCCTGATGGATCATTACAAGCTTTCAGCAGGTATCTCGACTGGTGGAAGAGGGGCGTGTGTGCGCGCGCCCTGCTCCTTTGTGTGTGCAAACCTGCCAGTAAGAGCAGTGTAATGATCAGGGAGAAATCAATTCAAGGAGGCAGCAGGCAAACAATTGAATTGTTTGAAGGAGAATCTCATTTTCCTGAGCTATTTCGAAGGATTGCGAAGTTACAAACGACCTGCTCGCACCCTAATCTGGTTGCAACCCTTTTCCCACAATCATGCCCTTTGTTCATAATCATATTATATGAACAGTCAAGGTATGGGCATTAGCTGTAATTGGTATGGGAGCACTTTTAGTGTAATGGTAGACACACAACTTTGAGCTTGACTGTATGTTCTCCCAGACCTATCAAAACCTCTTTTTCTCCTCAACCGCAGACTCCCAAAATGACAAGTCTTGAGAGATTGCATGCTAACAAGATAGCTGACAATTTGTGCTGTCTGCAAGTGATGAATTGAAGTGCCCAATTAACACTGCTTTGATTTACCACCCATGCCTCTGTTCTCGCAGTTAACATTCATCTCCGTTCCGCGCGCTTTATTGCATCCTACATGATACCTTTTTCCCTTTTTTATAACAGCGGGCTGTGTTGCTAATGGCCTATTGGCTTGTGATTAGAGGGGATTTGATTGCTGTGTGCCTTTGTTCCAGCTGTTAAGGTGGAAAAGAGACTCAGGGACATATAACCAGGGAAGAAGCTGGGTGACGGAGGGGGATGGGACAGCGGGAGCAAAGAGGGAAACCACCACTAAATGATGGTGAGATCTGGAGGGAGAGAGATACAGGATAAATGAAGAGGGAGAGGGGGAGAGATTGAGGCATTGGGAGAGATAAGGGGGAGAAGCAGGGAACAATGGGACCAGACAGAGAGGGGAGATGAGAGAGACAGAAAAAGACAGAGAGCGAGAGAAAACCCCCTAAAACTATATTTCTCCCCAGAGAGTGTACCAGCGTGATGAAAAAGGAGGGAGGCCCATGGGCGCAACGGCCCCCCTTGATTAAATTGTCCGTACAGGGAGCGAGGGAGGGAGCAAAAGAGAGAGGGAGGCGAGGAGGGGAGGGAGTGAAGGACAGAGAGTAATGGCACAGCCGAGAGAACACCTATAAAGAACAAGGCTGTCGTTAAGTGGGGAAAAAAATCCCAGAGATAGCGCCGTCCAATAGGGGCAGAGACACCGAGCATGTGCACGTGCAGCGTGCACGCACTCGCACACGATTCTCACGCGACACGCATACATGCACACGCGCGCACACACACACACGAGTGGTGTTAGCCTTGTAATATGTCAATAAATCACACTAAGGGCTAGATTGACCTTAGCTATCCCGCTTCCCTCCTCCTCCTCCTCCCCCCCGACAGTTCCTTGTCTCTACACTGTACTTTATGACGCGCACACACACTCCAAAAGCCGTGTCCGTGTGTTATATGAGCGGCCCGGCCACTGATAGGCTCCATTTATTCCCAGCACAGGTGGATAAAGTAGCGTAGATATATCTGCCATATATCTAGAATGAGATAAGATATAGCGTTATTGCAATGCGGAGGGGGGGGGGGTCAGGGTTTGCGTGAAACAAGAGTTGTGTTTATTTGCTGCAACTTTGCGAAACGTACGGCGGCACTGGAAGATACGTGGTCCATGTGTTTACAGTACATGGTGGCAGAGCTGCGGAGCGCGAGCCAATACAGATGGACTGCAAGTTGCACAGCGCACAGTGTACACGAGTTACAAGACATTACAACTTGTTTTCTGTATATTTATGTATCTGTGTATTTGGTCGCACTTTAGGGCATTTCTTTATTCACTTGTGTTTCCCGTATTTGCGATATATTTCTGTATTTGCTGTATATTTCTGTATTTGCTGTATATTTCTGTATTTGTAACGTGTTTTGTTATGTTTTGTCTGTTACAGTGCCTTGAGCTCTCAGGCCCACCATGGAAATGTATCCAACCTCAGCTAATTCAATCTATTTATCTATCATTTTAAAGTCTTACCTCAGCGTCTCTCTCTCTCTCTCTCTCACTCACTCTCACTCTCACTCTC